AAGGGGATAAAGAGGTTTTTTTGTTTTTTGTTTTAGTAATAATAGAGAAGGTGTTAAGTTACTGTTAATACATATATTGTAATTGTTTGGTGGGAGGGGGAAGTCATCTTTTACATTTCTTTCTCTTTTCTCTTTCTTTCTTTTTCTTTTTATCTGTAGGTTTTTATAGTTTTGTATTAGTTTTCATATACATAAACTTTAATTTAAAAAATGCAACATCATATATCTTAAAGGGTCCAGCTTCTTTATAGGAAACTCACAAAGTCATAAAGATGTAGAGGAGTATTAAGATTATTCAACATACTCTGATTTGATCCGGATATTTAGTTCAGATCTGATCTCAAATATTAGCAGAGCAGAGTAATTGTCACCAAAAGGGGCTCCAGCCTGTTGTGGATTCTGTTGCCCACATGTAGTTTACTTATATGTTTATCTATTCATTTATACCCTGACCTATTGATCTTTGAGAACCAAGTTATTTCATAGTTTAAGATAATATTTTAAAAGATTACAAACATTACATTTTTAAAATCATGTATTAAAATTATCATACTAGATAAATCCCATATTATGTATTCCCAAAAGGTTTGTAGACCTTACAACAAGATACAGGGTTATAACACTTTGTTTGATTGATTGACTGATTTCTCATCTCAAGGCAGCATACATTGCAGTATCTCTTCCAACTGTTTCCCAGAGCAGCAACCCAATGGGGGAGGTTGGGCAGCCCAAAGTCACCCAGGGAAGCTATCATTGCTGAGAATGGAAGAACAGAATTCATATAGGTGAGAAAAGGATACAAGTCTGTGTTTGCTTTGTTACTTGCTTTTGCATTTCAGACCTGGTCTTCAAGAATAACATGAATGAATTTATCTTGTTTTCAAGCCTGTGTACAGCTACCATTGCAAATACGAGGTTAATGTTCCTACTAAAGGAATCGAAAGGATTTCCTTACTGTCCTGAGTCTGTTCCACTTCACAAAATCGAATTCCTTCAGAGCTGTAGAGAAAAGCATGGGCATGGGGAGTACAGTCCTAGAAAATAAGGATGACATATTGAAGTTGCAAATAAAGCCATTTGATCTTACACTTTGAATTGATAAAAATAAACAAAATAGCTGACTCGCTGCTCTCCTTGCCAAGCTACTGTCCTACTGAACCTTTCTCTGCCCTTGTTATATTTGATATTTCTTCCCTTTCATTGTCCCTTCATTCATTGCTTCCCAACCTTTGTGCAGGGAACTGTGTATCCTGTCTAGAAAGTGACCCAAATGTATTCATTGTACCTTTTCTAGGCGCTGCCATGGAACCTCTTGGATAAAGGCATTGCAGTACACCACGTGGCAAAACGTTTTAATGAAGTGTTTGCAGATATCAAGCCCAAACTCCTCTATTGTTCTGATCTAAAAAGAAAAGGCGTTAGATTTGATCAGGTTCCATCTTCAAATCAGTGATGAGAAATAATATTGTATCTTAAGTATCGTTCAGAACTAAAGATTTATCAACTGGATATGGCAGCCCAACTCTGCTCATGAGAAATTATGCCCTTTATGGAACCAGTTATACACAAGGAGATCCAGGATTGTCATAATAAACAGCATGGCACACACTCAATTTACAACAAGGATCAAAAGCTCTGCTCAGACTTGAGCAAGATATTTGCATGAGATCCACAAAATATGAACTATAATAGCTGACCACCCACTGCCTATTATAAACTGTTGTTGAAATTCCTAACACTTTTTAAAAGTACATTTATACAGGCTTTTTTAAAAAGGCCAATGAACCCTTGAGTTCACAGAACTAAAACTCCATGGTTACTTTAAATCTTGAGTTATCCCTTCAATTGACTTCATTCCTTTTTGTTTATCTGGATTTCATACAGATCTTGTATTATAAAAAAAGACAACCGCTCTTAGTTTGTCACCTGTATCCTGCTGCCCTCTGAATTTTAAATTATTCAAAACCTGAACATTTTGTACTGTTTTTTTTTAAATTTATTTTTATTGCTTTTAAAATAATATCAGGAAAAAAGGAATAAAATACAAAAATAATTATAATGCAGATACATACATTCTCAGAAAAAAGAAACATATAAAAAGTGCTTTCGAAAAGGTGAGAAAAAGACAACAGAAAAAAACCCAAAATATATTGTTATAACAGTTACAATTACATATACACTTATCTAACGTAAATATTATTCAAGTACATATATATTTATTTGTAAATATAACAATACACTTTGTATTGTTAATTGAAAATATACTCTTCCATCTGAATATTGGTAACAAGCTATTTTAAAATTAAAATATTTTAATTTTATGTAATATGTAATATTTACATAATATAATCATGTAATAGGGACTGCAGATCAGACAAACAGGTATGTTCTTTTGTCTTGCTTTTTAGAAAATCTAAACAAGTTAACATACAACGCTTCCAAACCTAATTTCAAATCTTTCTCCTCTCCCTGTCTTGCCTTGCTTTTTTTTTTTTTTTTTTTACATAGCACCAAATCCTTTTGTTTGTTGCTTTGTCTGAAGACTGATTCTATAAATGCATATTTTGTTGTACGCCACCCAGAGTCACTTTGTGTGAGGTGGGCGGCTATATAAATGTGATACATAAATAAATAAATGACCAACAAAGAGGAAATGCAATCCACTTCGAGCTATAAGATAAGATGAATGATTTTACAACATACCCCATTGCATTTGGCCAAGGCTTCAATTGTATTCTTTATGGTGTCTGTGGGGATGACTCTGGAGTTGTCAGCATTCAAGTATTCATCCACGGTGTTGAGTCTTATGTGTACAGAGATTGACAGTTCTTTAATGCAGTGTATCTTCCCTTCTCGTCTAACGTACAGGATTCTCACGGCATTCTTTCCATATTCAGAATTCACATATTGTACATCCTTAGGCTGCAAGAAAGAAAACGCACACATACAAACCCACCTTTTTAATCAACACAGCTTAGCCTTAAAAGAGACGAGACATAAGCTGGTTCAAACTAATTTGTACCCATATATGTTTAGAATTGTCTTATTTTACCAAGACTGTTCAAATTTTGGATGCACAAGGTGTAAGATGGATCTGAGCATACCACACCCTTTTTTTATATATAATATTTTTATTAAAATTTATTTTATACACACACACACACACACACTAATACAAAACTAAAAGACCTACAAACAAAAAGAAAGAAAGGAAAGAAAGAGAAAGAAAAAAGAAAAAAGAGAAAGAAATATAAAAGATGACTTCCCTCTCCCTCCAAACAAGTACTGTATATGCATTAACAGTAACTTAACACCTTCTCTAAATAATACTACTAAGTCGCGCCCTTGAGTGTATTCTGTCCCTCTGCCAGAACTGACTCACATTTTCAGTCTTATTTATTTCTTTGTTTATTTGAATTTCTAGGCTGCCCAACTCTGGGCAGCTTCACAAAATTAAAACAACAACAGTATCGTACATAGAACAAATATGCATTAAATAACAACAAGAAAACAATGCCATCTATCCATATCCGCCACCAACTCACGTGACCTATCCATCCATTTAACCCAAGGCCTGAGGAAAAACCCAGGTTTTTAAGGAATGCCTGAAGGCAGGCAAGAAGGGGCCATGTAGATGTCTTTTCTCTACCCCTTCAGCTAGGCAGGTTCAGGATGCAGGAAAATGGTTTAGTTTGTACCCATCTTCCTTACAAAGGTTCAATGTGTGCATTCAGTACTTAAGTTCTACCAGTGCTCGGGCAAGGAAGCTGCCCTGGGCTCCTTGGCCATCTCCCCTGTCTCTCATCCTTCCAGTCAGTCCTATTCACAAACTGTAGTGGAAGAGATGGTGGGAAGCCTGTTCGAAACACACAGGTGCCACACCCCGTGTTAAACCCTCTTCCAAGACACATGCAGAGGCTGTGGATGGAGAACAGACTCTTCCTCTCGTGCAGCTAGAATTACATAAGCCATTGAAAGGAGAGGGCCAGGGTAATTTGCTGCTGGTGACAAAGGATAAGATGGAGCTTATATACAGCACTTAACCAGATTAGACAGCATCTTCTGTTGCAGCTGAGGCCAGCTATTAATTTAGAGGGATAATGGTAAGCCACCTGGCCACATAGATTTGTCCTCAATTTGCTATTGCTCTTTGCCTCTTAATATCTCCTGCCTAGAGAGCTCCTCCATTGTTGTGATGGTAGTGAAACTCCTGAACAAATCTATATTGTTTCTTTGGAAAACAGTAGTTCAGGCTATTAAATGATGTTTACAGATGTTTGTTGGAAGTTCAATATCTGGTCTATTGCCAGTATTGTTTCTTGAATATATTAATTACTTTTTTCTTGCAGCATCTGACTTTTACACAGTTCATATTGCTATATTATGCAAAAATAGATGCCTTCTAATATGCTCAGTTGACTGTATGCGACCACCATAAAAATAACATTGGTCCTTTTAATGTAGCGTCAACTGCTGAGGAGTGACATAAAACATCAATCTCTACCCCAGAGTGGAGAAGTCCTGTCTTTCTTTCCACCATGATTCTGCAAAAGTTAGTTCTTTCCAAAAGAAATTACATCAAAGGGGGATTTCTACAAAGTATGCTTTTAACATTCATAATTCGTTTTATCAAATGAAAATTTCTTCAGTTTTGTACTTTCGTACAAATCACAAAGTTCCTTTGAAGTTTTGAACTTGCTATATTTACTCAGGCGAGATCCTTTATTAACTTATTTGGTGTCTTGGTGAATTGGAAGGATGAAGATATTAAATATAAACGCATCTGAGTCTCCAAGATAGGATTAACCGAAAAATAAGTAAATCACATTAAATTTGCTTGCGAGGTAGAGCAGACAGGAAACACAGCCAGATAAGCTAATTCTACTTTATTGTAAGGTTACATTAACAGAATCTTGCAAGTACCTCCCTCCCCCCTCACTTTTACAGTCCAAGAAACTAGGGAGGGTCTCTTCTGAGCCACTTGCCCCATCCACATTCCTGTTGTGGGCTCAGCTGCCTTTTATCTGACCATTCCCTTGGCTGCATCTCTTCGCCCTGTCTCCCAAAGTCATTCCCACATACCATTACAATGAGAAATACCTGTATCAGTTACCTGCAAATGCTTTACTCTCGTATGAAATTGATTTTCTAATTTCTAGATGATAAACCATCTAGAAATATTAAAATGTTTATCATTTAAATGCTTATCATTTAAAAAGGGCTGAGTTCTAGAGAGAACTTCTTCTAAGATAGCTTTCTCCATCCAAGCACCTATCAGATGTGTTGGGCTATAATCTACAATCTTCTAGCCAGCATGCTATTCTGGGGGGGTGGGGAAGGGGGGCTGGATGTTGCAGTCTCAATTTAGGGAAAGACATGCCTACAATAGGGGGAAAAAAACATTTTCAAGCAACTTGGTTTGTTTCACTATTATATCTGTTCATACTTTCATTGCACTAATTCTGAAAATTCATAGTTTATATAAAGTTGTAAGACGGGAGGAGAGGGGTACCAGAACCAGAAGCATGCCTACAGGAGCAAATCAAGAATAAACTCACAAGTATTGGTTTCAAAGGGAAGTTTCTGCTGATTGCCTGCTATAAATGGAACCTTCCTGAAAGCTACTGAATGCAGGGGTGAGGGGGTGTCCTCTCACCTTCCCCATAATATATTCTATAAGTCTGTAAAAGTAATTAGAACAGGCTGCAATTTTCCAGTAAGATACCAATGCAGCAACCTTTGAGTAAGATCCCGTGAATGTTTTGTGCCCAGCCATTCTCTGGAGATCTGTTGTGTATCACTGAATTTAATAATGCATAGGAGTGTAAGGCTGTGGCTTATGCCCACCCTGCATCTTGCCAAATGAATGCAAATAAAATGTCACACAGGCCTCAGATGACCTCTTTCCAAAGGAGGTTAAATCTGGAACTTCTCACTGCCTAGAGAAGTTGAGGAGAGTAAAACAATGTACTCTGATATTTCATTTTAAAAGCTAAACAGCTGTGCCGTTACTAATCTTAACTGTAGTAATATCAAGATGGTCATATTTCTCTCTCTCATCTTATCCTAAAAGTGCATTGTTAAGGCTAGAAGCAGAATCAGGTAAGAACTTGACATTGTGTTTGTGTTGGCTTCTTTCGCTCAGAATCCTACCGATAACCCAGTGCCTTCTACCCTACAACTCCATCCTGAATCTGAGAGTGAGTGCAGAAGATTCAAACCTCATTTGAAGAGAGTTTCCTTCCCCCTCGTTCCTCTTCTGTATCATTTATTTCAATCAAGAGTTCTTGAAAAGCAAAAACCTTGCACTTTATGTTGTCGTATTCTGATTGCTTCTGATAAATGTATTGGGCAACTCTGGAACCCATTAGTAAGCTTATGGATGAGAGAAACTAAATGTCTGCCTTATCATTTGTTTGCATCTTTCCTTCCCATTCCATAGGTACAGCACCATTATTATTCAGCATTTCTGTTAGCTCATATTATTGCCCAATTTTAATATAATTGTACCTTGACTACCAAAGTGCCCATAGCTAGTGGTTGATTAATTTATATGATCAGCACATTTATTAGGGTAGTTTTTCAACTTGTAAAAAAGGTGACATAAAGAATCTGTTTTAAAGTTTTATACCTCTCCTGAGTTTCCCAGAAAGTTCTGGTTGTACACATAAAAGACTCTGGAATAAAATCATCTCTTGCTGTACTGGTTTGTGTATGAAAATGACATATTGCCTCATCTATAATACTGTGCAAAAGTTTTAGGCAGGTGTGAAAAAATGCTGTAAAGTAAGAATGCTTT